TCTTTCTTGCCCCAATCTATTAAGGGATTCTGCGAAACCCACTTTTTATACACATTAAAGAATGAGTTTTCAAAGTAGGTATAAAGTTTGCTAAAAAAGGTCACCGCACGGAGTGAAGGTCATATAGTGGGGTACGTATTTGCAGTTGAAGAATGCATAACATTTCATAGTATAACGATTGAAAAAGAAAGTAACAGAAGTGCTTGAAACCAAAACCATGGCCTGGAGATCGAGTCAAGTGGAGATGTGATTTAGTAGTTGAACAGTACGGTACCATTTCACTTGAACTCCATTTTCCAAGTAAGTAGCCCAAGACGAACACGCAGAATGGAGATCAACCCAAGTGGAGGTGTGATTTTTTGGTTGAGCTCTACGGTAGTTTTCAGTGCAACTTTTTTCTGATTCTCTAAGCTCACTTGCCTGAAGGTGTTTTTTCCATCAAATAATTGATCACCGCGCCATCAATTATGTCTACTACACATTCTTGTTAGGAATTGACTTATCATCAGTTTCCGTGGGATTTCGGTCGAGAAGTACACTTCCACATAGTTTTCGTACAAAAATGCAATGTTGTTTACAATAACATTTTTCAACTTTTTATTTGTTTACTCTTATCCTTCTGATAGACATCGAGTAGCCGTAACAATGAAGACGTGCTTGTCTACATACAGATTGATGAACTGTCAAGGGTAATGGGTCAAGGCTTAGAGTGGCAATGTGGGACTTATTGTTTTCTTTGCGATTGGAACTACAACTTCAGCTTTGGTGACCTTAGATTATTCGGTTCTTTATCTGCAAAAGCAATCTGATAAATTGCATTTCTTCAAAGGTGGCCGTAGGTCAAGATGAGTCTCTCGGCTCGGCTCCATCCGAGAATTTCGCTTCAAAAGTGTACTCTTGTCCTCAGAGCAGAAGTCCGTTCTTCTAAGCATCCTTAGTTGATATTGTATCCATTAAATGAGGCACTTCTTTAAAGAGAATGAACATGGTTGGGTCGAGATACTTGCTAGGCTGCCTCATCAAGAAATGCTCAGCTGAACTTTTGTATAATCTTTAGAGAGATCCGAGTTAACGATTGCCTTCTCGTCATACCTCAGCCTCGGGCCTTGAACTTATTAGCTCAGAGAGGAAAGTCTGTTGCCGCTATAATCTCCTGAAGTCTTCTTTTTCTTAGTCCGGTTCCTATTAGCTGTTGACCCAGCACCAAGTCTCGAGTGTTGGTGAGGGATGGGATAAGTTCGAGAATACTATCTGGCCTTAATGCAGAATAGCATTAGTCCTAAAGTTGCGAAAACAATTGCATATTGACTGAAATAGGGCTCCTGTCTAACGTCCCTGAAACTGAACTATTCATAATGTAAAGTTATGCAACAAAATGCTTTGTGAGACTTCGTAAGCCTGTTTTTATCAGACATACCCATCCTTGATTCCGATGAAAAGAGAGCAAATTCTCGATTGTCATGCCAATTTGCAGAAATACTCGCGTCTGGATCTACTTGTTACAAAAACGTTGAGGCATTCATTTGAATCTTTCTAACATGATGTGCATACTCACAGCAAACAAGCAGAATAAAGCAAGTGAGTTGACCTCGTTGTCGCAACTTGGTCTTGTTGTCAGGGCGACTATGTAGAACGCACCTAGTCCGAAATCGTCTGCCATAGTAGTTGTCATGATTCCTAGCATCTGACAGTGGATTTGATACATTCTCAAGTCCACTGTCAGATGCTGGAAATCATGACGACTACCATGGCAGACGACTTCGGACTAGGTGCGTTCTACATAGTCTTCCTGACAACAAGACCAAGGTACGACAACGAGGTCAACCCACTTCTATAAATCGAAAGGAGGCTGCGACCATATCAGAGGCCACAACATCTTGGTCTTCATATATTCAAGAATAAAGGTAGTTGAAGAATGATGTAGCTAGTTCATATTCATGTAAACCTGCGTACTTTTATGTTTATCTGTAGATTTGACAACGTACGCGAACGAAAGCATACCATCAGTATTAGTGCTCTATATTCTTGCATTATAAATAAGGTGTGTATGAAAGCCCTACACGTTCACAAGAAGGTATAGTGGCTCTACTTTGGTCTGTTGATGAGGCCAAATCAAAAATCCCTTCCAGCCAAGTTGTCATACGTACTGAATGGCACAATTTCAGGAATTAATTCGAGTATTCTTTGAAATCGAATAATGTATTACTTTATTCCAATGCCTAGTGGGCCTACTTGAGGTCACGCATGAATGAATACACCCGAAAATGGGTAGTTAATCTTTGGCTGTGGGGTAAGGCAAAGCCTGTCTCCCACTCGGCGATTTCTTTCAATTCGCTATAACAGCCAGACAAAATCATGCTGAGGAACAAAGACAATAATAATACATCTTCATGGAGGAACGCAGAATGCTAATAATTTCAATATCAACCAACTGTCTCATTTCTCCCCTATTTTGTATTACCGAGATTAGGATTTTAAAACTGAAAGGTTCCACAGCTCAACGAAATACTTCGTATCCTGAATATCCAACTTACCTACTCGATTGTAGTGAAGGGTACTCGTAATCTCTTCAAGTTATCAATCTTACACTTCGAAGGGTTCGGAGCCGATCTCAAGAGCCTTACGGAAACAGATGGTCTGCAATTTTCCTGCTAATACTGAGTGTGTTTACGCTTGTATATATGCGTGTATGTGTGTAAATCTGTATATATGTGTATATTTGCTTGTGTGTTTGTGCATGTGATATTCAAGGTGGGCCGTAGGCTAAGTGTGTGGTTCCGATAACCCATTCAAATATACCCATGCGTGGGGTTTATTGTAATAAAAAAGGGTATATTTCGGGGTAGACAGGATACATGGTCCCATAAAGTGGGAGCAAGTGATGAAGAAACAGCACCAAGCGATAGGAAGATATGCGCCTGTCGTTTGGCCATATTAGAAAAAGTCAGTCAAATATATTCGCCTCTACTGTCACTTTGACTGGTTGTGCATCGGTTCCGGGATGGCGCCGGTTATTAACGGTACCAACTTTGATGACGATAAAGCGTCTGTGACAATATCTCTTCGACTGGACGCACTAGCACAGAAGACGGGACGAAACGACTTTTTTGACGTCGCTTGATCTGCAGAAATAAGTTTAAGTTAACCCTTTTTCCATGTGGTGGGCTTGCCTCCATTTCGTGTGTGAATGTGCGTCAAAGACTTTCTGGGTCCCTCCCTCGCAAAAGTTACTTCAGACGCCTGTTCGGAAACATGGTTCTTGTTTGATTCTTGAGGGAAAGTGCTGAATATCCTTTTAGACTAATACCTGAATCAAATAAATTTGCATCAACAATTACGCAATTCGTTAATAATGACGAAGTAACTTGTAGTCAGGCCTTATTAGATTCTTTTTCACCCTTTCAGGCTTCATAATAAAAATATCTAATACACCTTCGACTTTCAGCACTTGTGCGTAGACGTACTGGTTGTGATTGTGCCATTTTTGGTGTTGTTGCAGATCCCTTGGCTACAGCCGCCCATCTTTGCGACCTTATATGGTCGCGTCTTCTTTCAGTCTTCCTTTTTCATAAAACCCAGTCGGCAACATAATTAACGAACTTCCTGGAAAGTCCAAACTATAAAATTGCCGATTCCAAACTATTAGGTAGAATATTTCTTTTAACGATGTTCCGTTTAGGTCCCCTAGAATCATGGAAACTCTCTCAAGCTGCTCGTCAAATAAGGTGACTTAAGCTTACTATTAGCCCTATAAATAGTCACGACTATTAAATATCATGATTAATGATGATGCTGATGAAAGACCCATAGTTGAATTTCTCGAATATACCAATGCATTTCGTTTAGTCTTGCTTCTTAAAAGGTATTTTTATCTAGTTTCAACCTATTTTTCGTATTTAAGTAGAGTTTCGAGACTACCAGTCTTTCATCACCTTAAACGAAATAGGATGAATACATCTCATATTACTTATTTACAGGTAGTCTCGAAACTCTACTTAAATACACAAAAAATAAGTAACATGGTCAATTATTATAGCAAAATAAGCGTTTGCTTCATCGACAATCCCACCAAAGAATGTGATATGACAAAAGACCTGGCCTCACTAGGGTCTCATCAGCACCCCAAAACGGGATAGTGTGGCATATCTATTGGTCAGAATACCATCGCGCCATACAACTGTAGGGGCCATTTGGGTGCAGGGCAGATGTAACTTAAACGTCAGGCCAGACCTCTCCCATTTCCAATTTTTGCAGGAGTGATTTTCTATGAAGCATACTTGTACCGTACTACTATTAGCTTACTAATGTCATATCCTTCGTCTAATTGTGCGACCCTATTTTGTAAGAAGGTTGTTGTTTATTCTGATACAAATAGATGTAAATATTGAAAAAAGAACTGTATTCACCATATTTCGTTTAAGGTGATAAAGGACTGGTAATTGAATTTTCACGCAACCATATGAGTGGACCTCGCTTAGCCCAGCTTCTCAAAAAGATAAAGTGTACCCCACTTTCAACCTCGCTTCGGTCGCATCAGCATCCACAGCAGGACTCGAACCTTGACAGTTCAATGCATAATCTCTACACGTTGACCGCCAGGCCACATTGCCACGAGGGCTCTTGGATCACAAGGTAGATAGGAATTTTAATGAGGGTCAGACATTCTCCCATATCGCATTTTGTGGTGGGATTGTCGAGGAAGCAAATTCATATTCACTATATCAATCGACTACATTACTTACTTTTTGCTTGTAATTATGATTACGATACCAACCGTCGATATTGAACAAGAATTGTGTTCATCCTATTTGGCTTAAAGTGGTGAAGGGGACGCTCTGCTACCAGCCCATCATTACCTTGAACGAAATATAGTGAACCCAATACTTATTCATAATCTACTGTTATTCTCAAAACCCTAATTTAAAACGAAAATAAATATAAATATTGGTAACTTCAACCACATCTCCTGCCCTCCCCGTCTCCTCCATCCCATTCACTCCGTTACGTCAGATCGAACCGATCGAGATCCAGGCCGCATACAGTCTTGGGCCCGGCAAACGCCGCCAGCCGGGGCTCGTCTTCACCAGCCGAGCGGCACGTCGTTTCGGGTATTTCATGGTGAACACGGTGTTGATCAGTTGTGTTCTCTGCCTGCTTGCTTTCACTGCCTTCTCTGTGCCCCCGAGTCAGAATCGTCTACAGCTCTCACTTTTACTTCTGTTAACCACGGTCACCTTCAAGTTTGCGGCTTCACAAAATCTGCCAAAGATCTCCTATCTCACTTACCTGGCAAGTAATGATCTGTTACTAGGGGTCCCAAATGGAACGACACAGGCCAGCAGAGATGATTTCATCTCTGCTCCCCACAACCCTATTATTGCTGGACCTTGTGTCTACTCTTATTATTTTAGCTGTTTTCACCTTATTTCGATTAAGTTGATGAAGAACTGGTAGTTGAGTATTCCCACAATTATGTGAGTAGAGCTGGTGTTTCCATCGAATTTACCATCTTCTTGCTTTCCCAAAAGGTACTATTATCCAAGATGGACTGTAGTTTCTACCTCGCCTAGGTCTTATCAACACCCCAGTGGAACTAAAAAAAACCTACTCGAAACAAAAAGTATTGTTTTTCTATTTGGCAATAAAATGCGAACTTTTATGCCCGCACCATAGTTTAAAGCAAAAGACGAAATAAAACTTAACACATTTTCTAATATTTGCCATATGGAAGTCAATGAAAGTATAATGAATATCACAATTTTAAAATTTCCAGAACAGCGAACAATTTTATTAATTTATTGGATCATCACAATTACTATAACTGACGACTTGGAAAAAGGTGAGCTTCTCTAGGTTACTTTGCAAACACGACCAAGTTGCGACCTTCTGTACTGAGAGAGGAGAGTGCGATGAAAATAGAGGATACAATATCTTGGTCTTAATATCGATGAGTGAATAATTTTATTATTTATTGAAGCAAAACAGTTTATTTTTTCTTGTCCGATATAAAGCAGTTTCATTATAAAGAACCAACTTATATGCTCCCAAAAGATACGATATAACGAGCTTTTACTGTATTCGGTTCGGTGCTATAAGCTCGATCCGCCATTTGAGTGCGGTGAGTTAAGAGGTAGAATTTTACTGTCATTTCAGGACTTGCGTTACCTGAGTTTCAATTAATCTATCGAGATAACATTACTGTGGAGGCTTTTATTTTGAATGAAAATGCACCATGAAACTATTCGTTGGGTCATCTCACTCGGAAGACGTTGGCAGCCGTTTGGCTTTAAAAAGACGGTCGAGTTGATGCAGTCCACGAGACAGCCTCTCTTGTTTCGGGGGAATCCAGGAAAAAGTTTCGCTCGCCACTTGAATGATGCCATCAGATCTCAAACTCATTTTTGCGAAAGTCTTGGGTTAGTACCGGGGCAAGACAACTTTCAGCCTCACCCGAAACGAAGGAGGATGTTTCGCGGACTGAGTCAGCCTAAACGTTGTATTAAAGCCAAATGGGTGCAGAACAACGAGAATGGGAAATCATTTGTCAATGAGATCGTGCAATAAAATACGAAATGGATGTCACCACTTCAATACCTTTCATTTCATTTGAACGGACTATTTCGAGGAATGGCCTGTTTCAAAATTGTTGTGCTTACTTCCATTTCGAGTGAAAGTGTTTGGTGAAGAGATTTTAAGGTCGATTCCTCTTGACCAGCTGTCGATTGGCTTTGCTGGAACATTCATGCTGACGCTGTTTCCGGTGAAAAGGTTGACATTTAACCGTAAGTAACCAAATCACTTTATACTTGATCAAAGAGACCAAATGTAGAGTATATATACCACTTTTTATGGATTTGCCGGTGAGTTTTCTTGACTCGTTAACTTGAATTTGGTTGTTATGATGATACCTTGCCCTGATGATGTCCGTCACATGACGGACGAAGGCTTAGCATCTTTTCACCCGAATCGAAGGAGATTACCTTGGCAACAGCCTCAGCATGAATGTTCCAGTAAAGTCAATCGACAGCTAGTCAAGTGGAATCCGCCGTCGTCTTCTGGTGGAATCGACCTTCGAATCTCTTCAACAAACACTTTCACGCAAAATGGAAGTAAAGACAACAAGAAAACCTTTTTAGAACCAGAATTCTTTACAGCATTACTTCTTAGCTCAGGCTTGCTTAAGTAGCTGTTTAGAGGATGCCTTTCATGGTCTATCTTGTAAGGGACGTCGTGACAGGTGTCTGATTTCTTCGAAACGTTTGGATAGTCCTTAAAACGATCTCTTTCTTTGACTCTTTGGGGCGGCATCTTCGGTGGGTTCAAAGAGTGTTAAAGTCTGCTGAGCTCCGAAGCGTGATCAAATCTCCTAAGAGAGCACTATAAGTATTGAGAAAGTCTTGACGGTTGGGCGATTTTCTACTCGTACTCGTGCCGTTTCGCCAGCTCTGAAAGACGAGCCCGGCGACTTTTATCCGCCTACAAACGGAGCACCAGACACCGGAGGCATAAAGAGGATTGGGAATAAATACGACTTGGCCCGACTTAGTCGTGAGGCCCGCGACTCGGGCCAACTAAAGGGCTTCACTGCAAATTTATAGCTGCTTCAGTCTGGGGCTATCTGCTCGCACAGTGGGAAAGGAAAGCCGAAATTAAAGTCTCAACTCTCACGACCAGTTGGATTTTTGATGAGATTAATGAGGCAGGTTGACCGCGAGAACCGCTGAACGTGGGAAATATCCTTCCGGGAAGGTCTTTTAAATGACATGAGAAGTTCTCTGACATTTGAGTCTTATGGGGAGGGGAAAGCAGACCAAGTGATTAAAATTGCGGTTCCGAAGAGCATTTCAAGCACGTGTGAGTTTGATAAAAATGAGGTTGTATATAGATAGACTCTACTATATATTATATATATATTTATGTATATATATATATACAAAACTTCAAGAGTTATTGATAGTTTCAAAACCTACTCTAAACGAAAATAAATAATTTTTAGGCCAACCTATGAAACTTTAAAATAAACTAAATATGACATTCATCTAAATTTGTTGTCAGCAGTAGAAAATAATTTCAAAAATTAATATTTAAGAAGTGCTATAATTGTATATGCTTACGGGCATTTGTATACATGTATGT